CGGCGTTCTCTGGTGTGATAACATCTCGAGGACGCCTTCCGAAGGCCATTTCCAAAGGAGTAACTCCTCCGTAGGTAATCGAAGAGTTTCTTGCCAAACATGCTTGGCGAACGAGGTTGCCATACTTCATGGTGATTCCGTTATACTGCGGGTCACCATCCTTCAGGATCTGAAGTATGAGCTTAATCTGATGCTTCAGCAATCTTACAGCAGCTTCGGCTCTGTTGGGCCATGGTGTTCCAGGTCCTGTTGCCACAGGCTTGATATTCTGCCGATTGTAATAAGCCTCCATTTTTGGAGTCATAAATGCTTGATCTCCAACTACAACCTTTGGGTTGATCTGAAATTTTTCAAAGTAGTCGTTCATAATAGACATTGTGGTATGTTCTTCTTTATCCTGGACTACTTCGGCAGTCAACAAGTTTGTTGCTCCATCATAGAGTATAAGAAATACTAAGCGACTATCCTTGCCGGGAATTGGAAGCTCACCGTGATCTACAAAGGTGAGATCACCGAAAGTTTCTGATCTTAGACCAGAAATCTTTGCTCTCGAAGGAGCTCTCACATGTTCCTGGCAGGCTGAACACTTTTTGACCAGTTGGTCATATAGCTCGTAGATCTCCTTTGGGATCTGTAAGGCTTTTGTGCGTCGCTTAAACTGATCCGTACTCATATGACGGTGCTTAAGGTGAAGCTTGTAGAGTTCTACAGGGTCCTTAAGCTTCTCATGAATCCTGCGAAGAGCAATGGGAAGAGATGGCGAAGGTTCTGCGACAATCTCTTCACCTGTTGGTGAGTCTGTACCAGGAGCCGGGTATTCTCTTGACTCAAGTGGTCTTACCTCCGTCCCGTCATCAGCTCCTGGGACTGTAGACTTCTCTTCAACAGGAGGTTTATCCGCATATTTGCGGGTTTTCTTCAGAAGGTTTTTAAGACCCTTTGGAGTCTTTATCTTCGCAGATGGAACCTCAAGTCTTTCTTCTTCTGGAGGTTCATGCGGTGCAGAGGGTTCTGCAGGTTTGTCCCTAGAGCCTGATGATGGTTCCGATGGTCCGGAAGGCTCAGGAACATCTCCAGATGTTCTGGTGGATCAAGTCTTTGGCAGATGATTCTGCCGGATCAGATGGAAGAGGCTTCCTTTTCCCTGAAATCCTCTTCGGTGGTGGATCAGCTGCTCCCTCAGGTGCTCTGTCACAACCCTTGAGGTACGTGTGAGCCTTTTTCTGTCCGGCACAGGCTGGACAGCGACCTTCCGGTATCCTAACATAAGGCTTATTGGCTCCTAGAGCAGTCTCCGTCGCACGGAACGATGTACCTGACTTAGGAAGGTACTTCCTGGTGGAAGTAAAGCCTAGAAGGTCCAATACCAAATGGTTATTGGTACTAATCGGAAGAGGGGTTTTATACAAACCGAAAGCTTCACACGTTGCTAGGTCAGCTGTGGGACTACACTCGAGAGTCATTCTTAGGTTTCTCATCTGTTCAATGGAGAACAAGATGGGTACTCTTCCCTGATCCAAAACTTCTATGGTTGTATCTCTTCTTGGAGTTGTGTTAAACCATAGTGTTACACGCTCCTTGATAAGAGCTGTTTCACTATCTGCAAAAGAGAACTTCGTGTTCGAAGGTGAAAAAGTGAAATCAATCATGCCTGGGGCATGTTGCTTCACGGCCTTGATAAGCCTGTTCACCGCATAGCGGGAACCCATAGCCCTAGTACAACCAGAGTCAAGAATGACAAAGGTAGGGCTCTTATCAAGATTGATCCGCTCGGTGAGAGCAGATAGGACGGTGTGCTGCAACGGAAACACTGCTGTTGCAGTCTCCACACCTTGCCCCTCAGATGGTTCAAAAACCTGGGGCGCGTAACTCACTGATGAGTTGTACACGGGTTCTTGGTGCGCGCTCGGATCTGTGCCTCTACCTGATGATCCTGCTTGATTTCTTCTCTTCTTTTTCCGTGTCTTTCTTCGTGAGGCTTGTGATGCATAGTATGTATAAGACGTTTGATCGTCATAAGCGGCATAATTCCAACTGGAGTCAGTATAATAACTGTCCTCATACCATGAATCCCAGCTCGGTGCGGTGGAACTTTCATAGGCCTGTGGAGATCCAGTTTGGTCTCCTTGTAAGGAGGCAGACTTAGCTGTATCCTTACCTTTGCCTTTTGATTTTGTACCCTTGAAGGAGCTTCCTTTATCTCCTTTGTCCTTTCCTTTTCCTTTGCCTTTTCCACCTTTTCCTTTTTCTTTTCCTTTGCCTTTACCGAAATAGCTGGAATCAGTTGGATCATGTTCTGCCTGGTTGGCTCTCCCTTTTCCGCGGTATGACCTAAAACGGCCACGTCCTTTTCGCTTGCCACCCTTTGCTCTTCCCGGTGATCCGGGACGCATTCTTGGTCTTCTTCCCTTTTTGAATCTCCTTGCAACGAAGGCTTCATGGTCGTCAACTGTCCAGAAGACAGCTTCTTCATCCTCGGCGGCAAGAAAGCCTTCCTCAAGGGTGTCTTCGTCTTGGAGCCAGAATCCATCGACTCCATCGTATTCACCCTGATCGAGGATGAGGAAGTTTCGACCTCCGCGTTTGCGGCGTTGATCTCTCCTTCCATGGCGGTCCTTCTTGTGAGAAGTGTGCCGAATATTGGGATCCTGCAGACCAGTTCTGGTCGTTGAGAACTGATCGAACATGGTCTGCCGTACTATAGGGTACGTGTAGGTCTCAATTCGGTAACCTTGGTTGGTCAATGCTGTTACCAACCTCTCACGTTGCATCTCATTTAGGTCGGACTGCACTAGGAAGAGGAGAGCTAGGAGATTATCATTTAGAGGAAACGCTCTTCGATGATTATCAAGGCGTTCCTTGTTCCATGTTTCGAAGAAACGTGCGGCGTATGTGTCTCTCTCGGTTGCATCCTGTAGGCGTATGAAGGTTTGATCTGCTTGCACAGCCTGCATGAAATCAGGATGGGCATCTTCCAGAATTATCTCTGGTAAGAGATCCATCCATGAGTTTCTCACGCGCTGTAGCACGATCTCAAACTTAGCAATCCAAGTCACAAAGTCTTGGTTGCCCTTCCATGCCTTGAATAGGCCGAGAAAACGCCACAGGAAAACGTACTGTTCTCCTTTCACGAAAAATGGACGCATCTTCTTCTTGAAGTAATCTACTCCATCTGGGGCTGCAAGCCTTTCTCGGTTGAGTGATTCTTTTTGTACTGCGGCCAATCCGGAGAGCCTCGTCTTGAGAGACGGACCTCTTTTGGTGTCATCCAGCGTTGTTATGTCGCACCAGTCGTCAATCAACTGTTCATACTCAAACCACGAGGTGGTGCCATCATAGGCAGGCGCGATCTTGGGCGTTATGCCTAATGATGCAAGCATGCGGTCAGATGTTGCATATGACTGTGCGACATAAGTAGCTGGACCTTGGGAGGTCTCTTCGTTCTCATATCCCCCGGAGGATTGGGAACTGCCGTCGGCTTCGCTATGCGAGCTCGACATTGTGCTGCCTCTTGTCCGCTTGGTTAAGCGTTCGGCGAGGCCGACCGCTGTAGCGGACTTTGTGAGGCGGGCGGCCCTTTCCGGGCTCCGCTACCAGAAAACTGTGCCGATACACCCCCAAGGGATACTCCTTGTAAGGAGGTGTATGACCAGTTTATTCCCTAAGGATCAAAGGGCAGCGCCCTGCACACGGACAGTAGTTGTTTTGTCTTGCTACGCAAGGAGAGCTTAACTTGTCTCAATATGGTAAAACCACTGTGAGCCAATGGGCAGCGGAATGTATATGTATGAGCATGCAGCCATTGCTGTAGGTACCTGTTAGAGCTACCCCTTTAGAGGTTTATGGTTTCCCCCCCCCCCCCCCCTCCCCCCTTTTTCTTCCCTCTTTCCTGCTCCCACTTCTTCTCTCCGCCCGTTTCGTCTTCCTCGCCCCCGCTTTGGCTTTTGCGTCAATCCACTGCCTGTCTGGTTTAGGGTTTAGGGTTTAGGGTTTAGGGTTTAGGGTTTAGGGTTTGGGTTTAGGGTTTAGGGTTTAGGGTTTAGGGTTTAGGGTTTAGGGTTTAGTTTAGGGTTTAGGGTGACCAGAAGGTATACAATAAGCCGGGACCCTCGCCCTGCCACTACAGAGCCGAGGCGGGCGGCGTAGCGTTAAAATTACTGGGCCCAACGTATGCTGTTCCCTAAACCCTAAAACCCTAAACCCTAAACCTTGCTGCTGGGATTGAAACCCTGCGGTTTGCGGATGCACACAACGAAGTGTTTCATGGAGGCATCGGTGGCTTTGCGCCAGCTGCTGAAACGCGACGATCGTGCATGTAGCGTGCGTGCCACTCCTGCCGCCTCCAGTCCGGAGTCCGGAGACATGTCCGCAGATGGGCGGACGCCGAATACGGGTTAAGGGTTTAACGTCAAGGCATTGGGCCTATCTCCGAAAGCGCGGGTTTCGACTAAGTGAGTTGGATGCCTGAGCCGCTGCAGTGTGCACAGCAGGACTGCCAAGTGAACCCTAAACCCTAAACCGTGGCCTCAACAGTGATTCGCGCTCCGTGTGCGAGTCTGCCCGAGCCATGGTCTTCAATCCCTGCAAGAGAAAAGTCAAAAGACCCCAAACCCTAAAACCTACACCCTAACCCCTTATAAACCCTAAAACCTACACCCTAAACCCTTACACAAACCCTAGACCCTCTCCTGCTGAACTAAACCATCCAGGGTCGAAGGCCAAAGCCCGAACCGTTGCCATCGAGGCCTTAAAAAAACCTAGTTGCTGAGTTCATAAGCCCCCAAAAGTGCACACTTGCAGTTTTCAAGTGGGTAATATTACCCCAAAAAGTGTAAAGTGTATCCACTCAGCTACTAAGAAAGTGTCAGTGAGACTTGGGGTACACTACAGTCAATAAAGAATGACCTTGAGAGCGGCTACTACGACTGACAATGCCAAACTCCTGTGTGGTCACCACTACACCCTACCCCACCAACACAGCAGCTGTCACCCGCCAACGCCTTCTGAAGGGCGAGAACTGCTGCCTGCGCGAGATGTTGCACAGAGTTCAATCGCAGGAACCTTCTGGGAGGGTAGGTTGTGTTTTGCATACTGCAACCCCATAATTAGGCATTCTTGCAAGTGAAGCTTTCTTACGAGTTCTGCCTTGCTATACGACTGGGTCCAGGGTGCGGAGGTATTTGTATCTAGCGTGCCATGCAACGCAATCCGGGAAATACAGCAGCCAACGGCGCTGGAACCAGTTGGAAGGGGATGATGCGGAGGTCACGACGATGACGACTACCACCAATTGTATGAAGCAGCCATGACCAATAAATGCTGACACTGCTGGTATCAGACACATGACCGGTGTTTCTATCATCATCGCCACTTACTCCATCATCATATTTGGGAGTTTCCGAAAACAGGGGACCCTAATACAGTACCTTAAATAGTATGGTCCTTAATGAAAAGGATCCCAAAATAGGAACCCCTAATTTTCGGAAACTCCCAATTCTCTTCAGAATTCCCAGCCGAGGAGCAGGTCTAGGGGTGCCATAGCGGTCAAGGGGCGTGAGCTTCGGACTTAAAAGGAGCCAGACGCTTCGGGCTTTATGCTCGTGCTTTGGCTGCTGGGCTCAGGCTGCAGAATCAGAGAGCCGTGCTGAGGCTCAGGAATCTAGGGTTCATGCTGTGATCGGCCTGCAAGACTGTCTGAATAAAAGCAGAGACGCGACGTTGATGGCACTTAGGCCTGTCATAGCTCAAACCACACCCAAAATTAACCTATAAACACGAACCTTGAAACCGTGAGCCGACACCCCTAACTCTTAGCCCGCAACTCCAAGAAACACTTCATCCCTACTGCATAGGACCCGCGTCCTGGCCTCCAAGCAATCGGTGGCAGAATTGGTAGCCCCTGCCATGACATCTTTTGCTTATTCTAGAGGCTTGTGGGGCAACTCTCGTACCAGTGACGATTCACGAAAAAGAGTAGCCGTCGTCGTCGTTGTGGTGGTAGTAGTAGTAGTAGCAGCAGCAGTATAGTAGCAGCGGCAGCAGCAGCAGCAGCAGCAAAGGGGGGGGGGGGCAGCAGCAACAGCAGCACTTCTACAACAACAACCACTACAACTACTACAACTACAACTACAAGGACGACGACGACGACGACGACGACTACTACTACTACCACTACGACGAGAACCAGAACTACAACTGAGACCCTACCTTTGTCCTAAGTCTTAACCCCAAACCTAGACATAACCATGAAAACTTAAATGCACATATGCAAACTCATATTCTTCTTTGAAACAACATCCGTAATTAAATAACTGATTCCCATGTCTTGACCAAGACATTATAGCAGCTTCTGGGTTCAGTCCGTCCCCCCTCCCCCCCAAGTAAACCCCTAAACCCTAAACCGTGTTTTCTCCAGGCGCACCTACGAGAGCCTCCAAAAACATCTCGGCACGGTCGTTGAACTCAGCTCTGAAGCAGTTGTTACGGTTTAGGGTTTAGGGTGGTTGTCAAAATTATGGTCTCTTTTAGGGTCCCTAATATAGTACGGCACCTATCCAGAAAGGGACCGCAATTTTGACAACCACCCTTGTGTGTGTGTGTGTGCGTTGGTTGGCTTTGAGGCTTCATGTACAAGGCCCATGCACGGGGTTTACAAGGGTTGCCGTAAGGACCCTAAAATCGGGCGTGCAGCTTCAGGAGTTTTGGGTTTCAGCGGGCTTCGGATTTCGGGTTTAGGGCTTGTGGAGCTGATGCTTAAAGGGCTTTTAGCAATTTAGTGGTTAGGATTTCAAGTATAGGGGAACTACAGACTAACCTTTCGGAATGCATAGGGCCTACACTATATGCCCTGAATGGGCTGCGGGAGACTCTACAAGTTTTCTGATTCTGCTAGATGTCAGGGTTTAGAACAAAGTCCATGTGTCTGAGCATTGCATGATCTGTATTCCTGCTGAGTACCTATTCTGACTATCATGATTCGCAGCCTGCTCAAGGCTCATGGCAATAAGTGTCAGATCAACAATTCAGCCATGCCTGAGGCCGCGACAGTGTCATCCAGGCGCTCAAAGGATCTGAAGGCCGCATCCATCTGGAGCAACACAAGCAGCGGCTTACGCCGTGTGTGAAAAGTTTGTGAAATTCTGATGTTGAAACCCCATATGAAGCCAAAAGAGCATTAGCCCGGTGTCGATTTCAACAGCCCCCTGAATTAGTAACATTTAGCGCTCTACATATATTGAAAAAGGAAACTAAGCAGTATCCCAAAACGATGCCCAGTTAACATGCAAGCGGAGAGCCTTCTGGTTCGTGGTGTTGTTAAACTCCAGCATGCGCTGCACGTGCACGTCGATGTCTTCGAACTTTTTGTTGATGCCCTGACATGAGGAGAGGTTCTCCAACAAGATCCAGCGATCGCTCGCAGTCAAAATCTAGGGGCTGAGTATCCTAGGCCACAAAAGGTTAACATTTGAATTAAGGCCGGCTCATAAAAACCTCAAAGGTTACTCAGCTACTAAGAAAATCCAAACCGTTAACCCTAAACTCCTAAATCCTGGACCCTTAAATCCTATCTCGACTGAGGGCTCTTATAAAGTCAGAGCCTCCTCGCTTCTGGGTAGCCGACAGGGCCCTAAGCACTAAACCCAGATATGAAGCTCTGAAGACCTACCGGCGACCGCAGCCGAATGCTTGCACCGCGAAAGGCTTCAAGCTTTCCTTAGTTGCTGAGCTCATAAGCCCCCAAAAGTGCACACTGTCAGTTTTTGTAGTGGCTAATCTTATCCCCAAAAGTGTCAAGTGTATCCACTCAGCTACTAAGTTGCAAGGGTTTAGGGTTTAGGCTTGAGGTCTTTTTGGCTCTGAAAAGGCTCCTTTTCGGTCCGCAGATCACTTTAGGGTTTTTGGCTTTGGGGTTTATGGTTTAGGGGTTTAGGGGTTTATAAAGGGGTTTAAGGTTTTCATTCAGGGTGTAGGATCTCACAAACCTCGTGGCTTAGGGCTTAAGGCACACATGAAAGCTCCATGGTAGTTGCACGCAGGGATAAACATCCCCTAAACCCTAAACGCTGCCTGGGATAGCATCCTCTGAACTTGTTTGAATGCACCCTCGAACTTTGAGCTTTAACGCAAGAACTTGAAGAGGGAGCGAATCTCGGGAATGGCCTAGGACCCGAACTTAGGGGTTTAAGGCTTTAGGGTTTAGGGCTTAGCTAAAGGCTTCATCAGTGTGCTTCACGCCACGAGCGAGTCTACGTTGAGGACGGGGGATTCCAAATCAGGTTCCCCATTGAAATCTGCAAGGGAGCTCTGATTCCAGACGAAAGAGCCAGACGGGGTGTTAATAATTGGAACAGGTTTGTGGGCGTACATAGTGTACAGTACTATAGTATGGTTTCATTCATCTAGTTTTAGAAGTAACCCTCAGGAATACCACAGCTATTCATTCCGACCCTAAGATCAACCTTGAACTCTTAAACCCTCAACTTCACAAATCCCAGAACCCTTCCTTATAGAACCCCTGTAGAGCCCTGATAGAACCCATGCAGAACGCTCATACCCAACAACTCCAATATCCTTTGAGTAAGCAATATACCTAAAATCATATGAGAGATCCAATTATAATTTAAGGTATATCCCTTAATTAAGGAATCTTGGACTTCCCTGATCCCTTCAAGGAACCCGGTATTCCTTCATTACTTGGAGGGTCGGGGGACTTAGTAACTGGTTATTTTAGGGACTTATAAGTACCATAACCCCAATCAGGGTCCCTTTTAGGGTACTTATAAGTCTACTTACTACCTACTTACTAAGTCCCTGAACCCTAAACCCTAAAGCCTATACTACCCTTATAGAGCCCTTTAAAGGAGCCCTTAGAATCCCTTTAAAGGAGCCCTTACTAAGTCCCTAAAAGACCCTCCAAGTAGGGGCTTCTCGCACCATTGGAAAACGGAGCAGCCTGGATGGCTGTGGCACTCGCATTCAGAGCTTTGCTGATGCGCTTGACCTGCGAAAGCCAAACGGTTCATGGCGTTTTGGCGCCCCGGTTTTTGATTTTACGTCATAGGGTTTAGGGCCGTTTAAGGTTTACGGGATCCCAAACCTCCCTATGCAATGTACAGGGAGGTTTGGGATCCAGTATGCACCCCACACCTCTCCACACACCCTCCATTGCATGTTCAAAGACCCTCAAGCACAAACACTTACACGCGATGCCAACTTGATGGCAAGCGACTGCTTTACCCCCCTCTCCCTCTCCCTCCCTCCCTCCCTCGCTCGCTCTATCTCTCTCTCCCTCTCTCTCTCTCTCTCTCTCTCTCTCGCCCTCCCTGTCTGCACAGGTACATGTGCATGTACAAAACGTGAGCATGTGCATAAACACTGGAAGCAGACATATACATGCATATGTACATGCATGCATACACATACGTACATACATACGTACATACATACATACGTACATCAATGCATGCATGCATGAATGTGGCCCTGCGCGCAGGTGTGCAGACCAGAAAAAATCATACGATGCTGTAAACACATGGGGTTTCCGAAAATAATCGGGGACCCTAATAAAATATACCCTAAATACTAGGATCCTTATTACAAGGACCCCAAAGTAAGGTACCCCTAATTTTCGGATACTCCCACATAGCCAGCTACAGGCATGCATTGCTTCACACGCATGCAGACGGATGGGTTGGTTAGATAGCCAGATCCAAGTCCGGTTTGGGGTTGAGGGTTTAGGGTATCTGGTCCAGACATGGGAGTTTCCGAAAATTAGGGGTACCTGATTTTGGGGGCTCCTTATAATAAGGATCCTACTATTTAGGTTACTATCTCCCTAAACCCTAAACCCTAAACCCTAAACCTACTTTTGGAAACTCCCTCATCTGAAGACAACGTTAGAGAAGTGCGTGCTCCAACACGCCAGGGACCAAAGCTGGAAGAACACATGGGTGGTTATCAAAATTAGGGTCCCTTTTTGGGTACCCTAGATAATAGGTGTCGTACTATAATAGGGACCCAAAAAGGGACCCTAATTTTGACAACCACCCACATGATTCAGGGCTGTTTAGCGTGCGGAGTTTGATCGCCGTGGTGAGTCTAGACCTCTCCTTCGTTGCTGACTTCTCTGCCGCGGACAAATACTCAGAACCCTGAATTGAGGCTGCAGAAGTCAAGATTCCCATCCCCAGAGACTCCAATATCCCTTAATTACGGAATATACCTTAAATCATGCTAGGGATCCTACGATAATTTAAGCTATATACTCCTTAATTTAAGGGATATTGGAGTCCCTTAAACCTAAACCCTATAGATGCCTTATAGGATCCCTTAAAGGAGCCCTTAAAGATCCCTTGAAAGACTCCTAGGTATTCCCTACTGAAGGGATATTGGAGTCTCTGGGTCTTCGGAAAGGCCTAAACCCTAAACCCTAAGCCCTAAACCCTAAACCCTAAGCCCTAAACCCTAAGCCCTAAACCCTAAACCCTAAGCCCTAAACCCTAAACCCTAAACCCAAAGCCCTAAACCCTAAACCCAAGGCCCTACACCCTAAACCCAAAACCCTCAACCCAAGGGCCTGCTGCTCTTCCATGGAGTGGGTCACCCCCATGTCTACGACAGCAGGTAGAGACCCTGATGCGAGGGCCAGGGTTCGTTCATATGATATCTTGGCTGAACCCGAAACCCATCTTAAACCTTTATGTGAAACCCCAAAAGAGAGTTTGGCATTTTTTCTTGGCTGACTTCTGAACCCCTCCTTAAAAGTTAAACATTTAGCCTCCTCCTTTATAGGTCATACAGAAGCCCAACAAGTTCAAGTCCTAAGAGCCAGCCAGAAGAACGCCAAGATATAGGGGTCGTCATCAAACTAGGTATTTTTACAGCATGCTATAGTAAGACTTCTATGTTAGGTTTTCGGTAAATAATCTTATATAGTAAGGCTTTTATAGGGCCCCGAAAAGAAGATGTCGGGCTAGGGCGAAGTGAAAGCGTTAAGATTGGTCCGGTTTGCTGGTAAAGCCAGTGAGGGTTTAGGGTTTCGGGGTGAAGGGTTTCGGGGTGAAGGGTTCAGGGGTTTGGGGCTTAGGGTTTTGGGCAACCAGCCACAGACAGGAGGAGCATTCCCCAATGCGCCCCGTCGACGACGTAACTGATCCTCAGGACCAAAACACACGTGGCCTGCACTTTCACTCTACATCCAACCCGCCCGGACCACGAAATGAGATGTCGGACCTCTCAGCGCCAATCTTATGTGTGGCTTCACTTGTCAACAGTGCCGTAAACGCTCGTTTGGTCAGTGCTTAAAACGTCTGTTATCCTGGGCGACGGGGACGAGGACTGAAGCGAAGACGACTACGTTGCCTTTGGCAGCTGGAACAACATCTCTGAATCATGACATGCATGTCGAACACATAACGAAAGCTCCTGCCTCTTCTGCCGCTACTGACGCTCGTCCTACTCTCGGTACTCTTACTCCCACCCTTTCTCCCACTCCTATCCCCACGCCTTGCCCTACCCTTATAATACTACTGCGACGACGACGGCGACTACGAGTAATTTCTACCAGTACAACTACAAGCAACTGTCTGTTACGATACCAACTACTAAACACTAACTAACAGCTGCTCGCTACTAGCTATTTGCTAGTGGCCACTAGCTACTTCCAGCGAACTGCCCACTAGGCACTAATAACTACTAATTACTCACTACTCTCATTACCACCAACAACTACTGCTAAGCACCGCAAAATACTACTAAGTACAACCTACTTCGGCCTACTCACTAATCACTACTGACTACTGACCACCAACTACGGAATACATGGACTACCAACTGCTACCAATACTGCTATTGCTATTGCTACTGCTACTGCTACGATTACTACTACTACTACTACTACTACTACTACTACTACTACTACTACTACTACTACTACTACTACTACTACTACTACTACTACTACTACTAATAGTAGTAACTGCTACTACGACGACGACGACGACTACGACTACCACTACCACTACCACTACGACACTACTACGACTACGACTACGACTACTACTACTACTACTACTAACACTCCTACTGCTGCTACTCTAACCACAGCCGCCACCACCACTACAACCACCACCACCACCACTACCACCACCACCACCACTACCACCACCACCACTTCTGCTGCTTCTACGATTACGAAGACTGTCAATTCCTAGAACCCTAAATCTGTAAACTCATTGCTATCGAGAGATAAACACTAATTAAACTGTGGAACCTTTAGCCCGACCCGGCAATAAACAGCCCTGAAAGACTCAAGCCTAGAAACCCAAAACCGTCGCCCTCAGACTCGAGCTGCAGGCCTCACAAAGCGTGGGCAGTTCTCCGACAACACCGCGTTCAAACACTCAATGTTTCGGTAATATTGTCATGACTGTAAATTACAATAGTACGCAGATGAATTAGTGCTGACACGACGGCTATTAGCTGATCGCCGAGCGCACAAGATGGTGACGGGCGTTGCTGGTCTTCAGCGCCTACGGTCGTATGTTGTTGGCAGGACAAGAGTCAGCCTTGCTGCTGCAAAACCGAGTCTGTCAACAGTCACGACAAAAACCAGAAAGCTAAAGAGCAGATGCCGTAACGACGTGGATCAATGTGGGACTGCGCTTCTGCTTGGACTTGCTTTACGTTGACAGCTCTTCTCCTCCGTGAGAGCATGTGCTCAAAAACCTGATAGCCGAGGCTTCGGAGCAGTCGAAGTGATGACATGATCCGGAGGTGAAGATGCTGCGCCCAAAAAATCCCTGAAGGCGTTCACACGCGGGTTATGTTCAGGGCTTGGCGTTGCATGGCCTTGCAACACGTACATGAAAGCAAAAGCTCCCGAGAATTCGCGATGACGCACAAGTGTGGTTGACAAGACCTCTCAATTACTGAACGGCAGTACAAGGACCTCGATGAACGGACTGGGGTTTTGGAGTATATGGGGGGTTTCCAAAAATAGCGGTCTCCAATATGGTACCCTAAATAGTAGGATCCTTATTACAAGGACCCCAACATAAGGTACCCCTAATGTGGGGAAACTCCCATATTGCTGTGCAGACATCACTGTTCAGAGCTATACGACAGCCAGCTGCCATGAAGCCGAGACCCAAAAGCCCCTGAACCCTTCATGCTGTTGATGATATAAATCCTGCACTACCTTAAGGACCCTAAACTATGGAAATTATGGTATATTCCTTGTTATGGGAAATGCAGGATTTATATCATCAACCGTACTTAAACCATAAACCTCCCCAAACCTGAAATCAAGCCCTAAACCCAAACCTTAAACTTTAAGCCATAAAAACCCAGCCCGAAGACTTTCAGTTCAATCCTAACTAGTGGACATGGGCACTGGGCGTAGTAGGTCAATCGGAAATAGAGTTTTGAGCACCCCGAAGTGGCGATGCTATTTGCAGCTCTACCCGGAATCTCCTTGCTCACTGAAGTGCCATGATCCTTGAAGTGAACCCTGAAACCCGAACCGAAGGACTCTGGCAACCAAGCTTCCTAGTAGTAGCAACTGCAGCATCAGCAGCAGCCGCAGAAGCAGCAGCAGACTGCCAAAATGATACTACTTGGGGGGTCGGGGGACGTAGTAAGTAGGTAGTACGTAGACTTATAAGTACCCCAAAAGGGACCCTAATTGGGGTTATGGTACTTATAAGTCCTTAAAATAACCAGTTACTAAGTCCCCCGACCCTCCAAGTACTTCCTACAATGGACGAGACATAGGGTGCTAGGTGGTGAGTGCAATAAGGAGTTCACGAGTCACGGCCGCACACTGTCAACCCGAAATAAACCAGGGTTTAGAGTTTTAGGGTTTCAGGGTTTAGGGTTTGAGAATTTGTTTTTGAGGGTTTTAGGGTTTAGGGTTTTAGGGGTTTAGGGCTTTAGGGTTTAGGGTTTGAGGGTTTTTGTTTTTTGAGGGTTTTAGGGTTTGGGCTGCTAGGGACTAGGACCCTTTTCTTCCGCTTTTGAGAAAGCCTCGTTTTGCAGAGCCAGGCGAGCCCGAAGGTTCAAGAGAAGCGTGCGCACCTCTCGCCGCTCTACATCTCAACGAAATTGAAAGCTACCTGCCTCGGACACCCGCTGTCCCATTTGCATCGTCGCTTGCTTCGGATGGTAATGGTCATCCGTTTCGTCCAAGCAAACAGCCAAAGCGCCTTAACTCCGAAACCGCAAATTAATAAGGAACCATGCCAGAGGACGTTGTAGACAAGTACCCTCAAGGACCAAGGATGACAAAGGCCTGCTGAGTATAAGGGCACTAAAAGGCAGAGGAGGTGCACTTGGGCTGTGCCAGAGGGATTTAGGATTTACAGTTCAACAACTTAGGGTTTGGGGTTTTTTGGATACGTCGTTTCGAGGACCCGGGCCAGGATGTCTTATTAGTTGTGGCTATGTGCCCAGCTTGAACCCTAGTCCCGAAGCTTGCGTGCTAAACCTATTCAGGCCTATGTGGATTGGAGCTGGGGGTTGAAATTTTACGCCCCATGGCCAAGCAAACCCGAACCTTTTCTCAACGTCGTAATTTGCGTGCAATCTCTCTAAACCCTAAACCCTAAACTTCGTGTATAACCCTGACAGCTAAATAACCGGTCGTAAACCCGGAACCTCACAGTCTTTAGTCTGTTGCTGAACCACAAAACGCAAACCCCTAAACCCCGGAACCCCAAAACCCCTGAACCTTAAACCACAAGCCCTAAAATCACCTTAAGCCCTCATGGATTTCGAGCCGGACGTGGTGTTACAGTAGAGGTGGGACATTTAAGGACCCTAATAATTCGAATAGGGTTTTGGGGCTCCTCCATAGGCTTCCTTCAAGGTTCTAGAGGGTCTACTATAAGGGTTTAAGGGTATAGAGGCCCTGAATAAGTAGAATAGGTTTTGGGGGGGGTAGATTCTACTATTATACTTTTATTAAGAAACCACCGGAATAGTACAGGTAACTTTTAAATATTTAGAGTGGGATGTCGGGTCTGAGTCAGGATGAGTAATCACAGGGTTTAGGGTTTAGGGGTTCAGCCTTTGGGAGTTTAGGATTTACGGTGTAGCGGTTTAGGGTTTAGGGGTTTGAAGGCTTTATAGCTAGGGCTTCAGGGTTTACGGCATAGTGTCTAGGAACATCGATTCAAGGGCGCAGGGCCCAGGTCTCACTACGAAAACCTCGGGGTGAACGAAGGCCTAGACGGCAACTACGGATTCGGTTCACTCGCGCCATGAAGCCGAGCGAGCTCAGTCATCTCACCTTGATCGTGTTTAGGGTTTAACGATTATTACATTCTAAAGGCCCGCTTTTCCTTTCGCAGTTAGCATCCAGAAAACCAGGTTGGTTGAGGGAGGGGGACACCCTGCAGTACCCGGAGAAAGGATTTTACGGTTATGTAGGAGTTCAGGGTTTAGGTTTCAGTACTATACACCACCAACCCCAAAACATCCAGAAACTCAAAACCCCTTCAACTTGCAACCGCTTGCTTGGGGGCCCTCTGGCTCTATCAGGCTCACCATAAATATGCACGTCCCGATGGGGATTCGAATCTTCAACCAATCCGCTAAACCCTAATCCCT